GATAAACACACACACACACACACACACTCACAGACTCTTTGATAAAAAAACACAGCACACATATTACATATGAATGTACTATATGTGTTGTTGTATATTTATATCGAAGTACAATTTCGTGTGTTATGATATTACCTCACCATGTATCAACATCACTGCCCATCCACATCTCCCAAAATGAACCACCAACACATCCCATCGGCACAAAAGGCAACCAAGAAATAAAAAGAGAGAAAAGAAGAAGAAGAAGAAGAAGAGAAGAAGAAGAAAAGAAAGAAAAGAAGAACAAAAAGAAGAAAAAGAAGAAGAAAAAAGAAGAATAAAAGAATGATAATAATGAATAATGATAATAAGAAAAGAAGGGAGGAAAAGAAATGAAAGAAGAAAAAGAAAGAAGAAGAAGAAGAAGAGGAAGAAGAAGAAGAGAAGAGAAGAAGAAAGAAAGAAGAAAAAAAACAAGTGCATATAAATGAGGCATCGTCTCCCACACGCGGAACAAAGCCCACGACATGAACAAAAGTCCCCGAGAGATCCGAGCTCGCATTCATCGCCACAGGTGCTCGTTCGTGAGCGGCAGAGGCAACCGACGCCAAAATAGGAGTCATGGTTGCCAACTGCGGCGCGGAGTCTCGTCTCCCGAGGCCCCTTCCTCGCTCGCTTCTCGGCCTCTCGCTCGTTCTTTCCTTCGTTGGTTTGGTTGTCTTCTCTCTCTCTTCTCTTTCCTTCGTTTTCTCTCTCTCTGTCTCTTCTCTCATCTCTTCTTTCTAAAATGAAAATCCATNCCCCCTTCCCTCTCCCTCTCCCTCTCCCCTCTCTCTCCCTCTCCCTCTCCCCTCCCCCCTTCCCTTCATCCCCTCTCTCTTCTCTCCCCCCTTCGCTTCTTCTCTGCCTTTCCCTCCCCCTCTCCCCTCCCCTTCTCTCCCCCTTCCCCCTCTCATCCCTCCCCTCCCCCTTCCCTTCCTCTCCCTCCCCTCCCATTCCCTCCCCCCTCCCCCTTCTCGTCTCCCTCCCCTACCCCTATCCCCTCTCCCCTTCCCCCTCTTCATCCCTCCCTCCCCCATTTCTCCAAGAAATAAGTCGCGTGTGCTATTTTCCTTTTTTTTTCAATCACATTTTTTTCTACAAAGTCATTTCCAGAAAGACACGTGAAAGAGAATGGGATTTTTTTTTCACAGAACATAAATACAGGACATAATCATCATTCATTCTCATTATTACGTTTAACCATGATACTTGTGGGATGTGTTGTGATATTGTTCTTTATTATCGTTCTCGTGGTTGTTACATCACTATTATCGGATAATTATTATCACATTAGTATATTGTCATGTTATATTGGAAGAGGAAGGGGGAGGAGGAGGAGGGGGGGAGGGGAGGGGGAGGGAGGGGGAGGGGGAGGAGGAGGGGGGAGGAGGAGGGGAGGAGGAGGAGGGAGGAGGAGAGGGGGGAGGAGGAGGAGGAGGAGGGGGAGGAGGAGGGAGGGGAGGAGGAGGGGAGGGGGAAGGAGGAGGAGGAGGAGAGAGGAGAGGAGGAGAGGAGGAGAGGAGAGGGAGGAGGAGGAGAAGGGAGAAGGAGGAAGGAGAAGGAGAAAGGAGAAGGAGAAGGGAAGGGAGAAGGAGAAGGAGGAGGAAGAAAGAAAAGAAGAAGAAGAAGAAGAAGAAGAAGAAGAAAGAAGAAAAAGAAGAGAAAAAGAAAAAGAAAAAGAAAGAAAAGAAAAGAAAAAAGAAAAAGAAAAGAAAAAAGAAAAAAAAGAAAAAAAGAAAAAGAAAGAAAAGAAAAGAAAAAGAAAAAGAAAAAGAAAAAGAAAAAGAAAAGAAAAGAAAAAGAAAAAGAAAAAGAAAAAGAAAAGAAAGAAAAAAAAAAGAAAAGAAAAAGAGAGAAGAAGAAGAAGAAGGAGAAGGAGGAGGAGGAAAGAGGACAAGGAGGACGAGGATGTGGGGAAGGAGGAAGAAGAAGGAAAAGAACAAGACAAGAAGAAGTTGAAGAAGAAAAAGAAAAACAAGGGGGAGGGCATTAACAAAAAAATCGAAAAGAATTAAAAAAAAAAAAAAAATCTACACAAAATAAAAAAACATGACAAAAAAAAACAAGCCCCCCAATAACCCCCCCCCCAAAAAAAAAGAGAGAAAGCAAGACCCGAAATCCTCCACGGTTCCTTTCGCCACCACGACGTACGTATGCCCCAGACAGCTCCCCCCCCCCTCCTCCTCAAGCCCCCACCCCCCTCAACCCCCTTCCCTCAAGCCCCCTTCCCCATCCCCTCAGCCCCCCCCCTCCCCCCAACCCCCCCCCCAACCCCTCCCCCTATCCCCCCCTCCCCCCTTCCCCCGCCCTTCCCCACGTGTGTATATATCCCCTCTTATCGGCCGACTGCAGGAGAGAATTTGTCCCGGCCGCCGCTGACGTGACCTGTCTCTTCTTCTGTCCTTCTCCTTCTCCTTTTTATCTCTTGTTCTGCTTAGGTCTTCCTTTTCTTGTTCTTTCTTCTTCTTCTTCTTCTTCTTTTTATCTCTATTCTTCTTAGTCTTCGTTTTCTTGTTCTTTATATTTCTGGTCTTTTTTTTTTTCTTCTTCTTCTATTCTTCTCCTTCTCCTCCTTTTTTATCTCTTGTTCTGCTTAGGTCTTCGTTTCCTTGTTCTTTCTATCTTCGTTTCTTCTCCTGCTTTTTTTATCTCTGTTCTTCTTAGGTCTTCCTTTTCTTGTTCTTTCTATCTTCTTCGTTTTCTTGTTCTTTATATTTCTGGTCTTCTTTTTTTCTTCTTCTTCTATCCTTCTCCTTCTCCTTCTTTTTATCTCTTGTTCTTCTTAGGTCTTCGTTTTCTTGTTCTTTCTATCTTCTTCGTTTTCTTGTTCTTTATATTTCTGGTCTTCTTTTTTTCTTCTTCTTCTATCCTTCTCTTTTTTTTCTCTGTTTTCTTAGGTCTTCCTTTTCTTGTTCTTTCTTCTTCTTCTTCTACTTCTTTTTATCTCTGTTGTTATTAGGTCTTCGTTTTCTTGTTCTTTATATTTCTGTTCTTTCTTTATATTTCTGTTCTTTCTTATTCTTATTCTAGTTCTATTATTCTCCTACTTTTTATCTCTATTCTTAGGTCTTCGTTTTCTTGTTCTATCTCTGTCCTTTTTTTTCTTCTTCGTCGTCGTCTTCTTTCTATCTACATTCATCTCCGTCTTCGTTTTCTTCTTCTTCTTCTTCTTTCTATCTATATTCGTCTTCGTCGTTGTCGTCTTCTTCTTTCCCCTTTCCCATCTTTAATCCTTTTTCCCTCCTCATTCCCATCTTTAATCCTTTTTCCTCCTCTTTCCCATATTTTATCCTCCTCCCCTCCTCATTCCCATCTTTAATCCTTTTTTTCCTCCCTCCTCTTTCCCATCTTTAATCCTTTTTCCTCCTCTTTCCATCTTTTATCCTCCCCCCCCCAACCCTACCAGCCCATCCCCTGATATTTCCAAGGGTAAATCGGCCATGAAAATGAAAACACAACATTTTTTTCGAAAAGAGCCGGAGGGAGATGGAGAGGAAGAGAGAGGGAGAGAGGAAGAGGAGAGAGAGGAGGGTAGGAGGGGAGGAGAGGGAGGAGGGGAGAGAGGGGAGGAAGGGAGGAGAGAGGAAGAGGTTAAGAGGAGAGAGGGGAGAGAGGAGGGGAGGAGGAGAGAGAGGGGAGAGAGGAGAAGAGAGGAGAGGGGAGAGAGGGAGAGAGGGAGAGAGGGAGGGAAGGAAGGAGGAAGGAGGGAAAGGGAGGAGGAGGGAGGAGAGGAGAGAGAGGAGGAGAGAGAGAGAGAGAGAGAGAGAGAGAGAGAGAGAGAGAGAGAGAAGAGAGGAGAAGAGAGAGAGAAGAGAGAGAGAGAGAGAGAGAGAGAGAGAAAGAAAGAAAGACAGACAGACAGAGACAGAGATAGATAAAGAGGAATAAAAGAGATTAAGCAAATTCGCACCTCTAATATTTTTCCTTCTCAACCAACATAACCCTTTTTCTACATTCGTCACAATGAACACTCATCAAAAAGATAACGAAAAAATGAAAACAAAAGAAAAAACAAGATTAGCACAATAAGTGAAAAAGAAGAGAGAAAAAGGACAGAGGACAGAGAGAGAGAGAGAGAGAGAGAGAGAGAAGGAGAGAGAGAGAGAGAGAGAGAGAGAGAGGAGAGAGAGAGAGAGAGAGAGAGAAGAGAGAGAGAGAGAGAGAGAGGAGAGAGAGAGAGAGAGAGAGAGAGAGAGAGGAGAGAGAGGAGAGAGGAGAGAGAGAGAGACAGAGAGAGAGAGAGATGGGAAGGTAGGTAGTTAAGTAAGCATGTTAAGTAAATAAGTAAACAAGTAGGTAGGAAGGCATGTGCCTAAGTATGCAATTACGTATATGCGTGCGAACATACTTATTTGAACACATACCTATTTTTTTGTGTGTGTATGTCCGTACATGTCTGTATACATTAAATATTGATCTTTCGTTTAACGCTCTCATTTTCTTTTTTGCCAATTTCGCAACCCTAGAATAAAAACGAGAAGAATAATTTTATTTATTTATTTTAGCGCCGTCTCCCTCCCGATTAATTATTTTTACCGCCAACTCCCCTAGAGCAGTAAATATCCCTTCATATCATAATGATCGTTAATGAAGGCAATTATGCAATCTCTCTCCTCAAATTCAAACAGCAATTTCACATTTTTTTTTATCGGCAGTTCTATAAATTGCATCTGAATCCATTAATCCACTACTTCGTACTGTATATACGACTGATAAAACGTAGTAATTAGAACAGAGTAATAAATCATAATTACGTTCTTATATTCTAATGAAAAATATTATGAAGGTATTTGTGGATATTCATCGTCATCAAATACGGGTTTGAATTAATCCATTCATCATTATTTTTCTCTTTCTCTCTTTACTAATTCTTGCCCTGTTTTCAGTCACTATATTGCACCTCTTTTACATATTTTTTTTCATCTATTTATTTTTTTCTCTCTTCATTTCACCTGTTTTAGTTTTCTTGTGAAAATCTACGGAGCACACTGCCGCATTTCACATCCACGCCTGCGCAACTTCAAGCATACTGAAACTAGGAGCAATAAATATAATTTACTAATGGATCTATACAATCTCGAAGCACTGCGGGTTGAGCTTGTATTGAACACGGAAAAATACAAATGAAAACAAACACAATAACGTGTAAGTAAGTAGGAAGAAATGTGCCTAGGGTAAGCAATTAATGATTTCTGACGAAGATATATTCGAAACCGGTCAAATACATCTCTTGTATTGTGAAGATATTCGTTCTCATTCATACCTTTCCACATCTGTCAACATGAATACAGAATGCAATTCAGTATAAGCGCTAATGGAAGAATAATGAAAATGAAAATACTGCCGGAACTGAAACGAAATATAAAAAAATGTGACGTTTCGAACTCGCCGCGACCTCCTCATCAGACGCTCCACGCCATTCCCTCTAGACCCTGCAACAGGAACAACGAAGGGAAGGGCAAGAAAACACACGAATATGCCGAAGGCCTTTTCACTATTGCTTCGTCAGGGCACATATCATACCTGACGAAGCAATAGCGAAAAGGCCTTCGGCATATTCGTGTGTTTTCTTGCCCTTCCCTTCGTTGTTCCTGTTGCAATCTGTTCAACATGAATTCCACACCTCTAGGCCCTGAAGAACTCGCGCAAGTGGAATCAGAACAAACGCAAGTTACGACATCACCCTCAATATCAACGCACTTCGGAATCAGAACGCCTCGCACAATATCACGCACTCGGAATCAGAACAAACGCACATCACCCAAACCAACACGCACAATATCACGCACCTCGGAATGCACATATTCAACGCAAATCAGAACAAACGCACATCAAAACCACGCACACGCACAATATCAACGCACTTCGAATCAGAACAACGCACATCACCCAAAACCACGCACACGCACAATATCAACGCACTTCGGAATCAGAACAAACGCACATCACCCAAAACCACGCACACGCACAATATCAACGCACTTCGGAATCAGAACAAACGCACATCACCCAAAACCACGCACACGCACAATATCACGCACTCGGAATCAGAACAAACGCACATCAGCCAAAACGCACGCACACACATATCAACGCACTTCGGAATCAGAACAAACGCACATCAGCCCAAAACCACGCACACGCACAATATCAACGCACTTCGGAATCAGAACAAACGACCACGCACACGCACAAATCAACGCACTTCGGAATCAGAACAAACGCACATCACCCTAAACCACGCACACGCACAATATCAACGCACTTCGGAATCAGAACAAACGCACATCAGCCAAAACCACGCACACGCACAATATCAACGCACTTAGCAATCCATTTATTAGGTCAACATTGCCGAACCTTCCTGCAGGGTGAACTTCACTGATCTCAAAAAAAATCGAAGACCTAAAAAGCTGTGGCATCAAACACTGTTTATTTTTTGTGGCTTGTTTGTTTTTTCGTATCGTGTCTCCAAGAACTGTGCTTGAAAACAGGCTGTGCTGGCAGGTCGGCGAAAAAAATGTGGATGTTATGAGTAAACTTTGTAATAAGGAACATTGTTAAACCCGTATTTCAGAGAGGGACGTGAAATAGCCAAGCAAACCACCTGACACGATATAAAAAAAACGGATTATTTTCGACTACATAATCTACACTATGTTATAATATTACGCTATATAGATTTTGTTATAATATTACGCTATATAGATTTCGTTATAATATTACGATATAATACAGTTACCCTGCGTCAAATACATCCAAGCTTTCCCAGTCCCGAGCGGTTAGCCTGGATGGTAAACAAAGGTACGAAATTCCCGTTACCATGGCAACGAAGACGCTTTACTTCAAACTCTCCAACGGATCCGAACACAACAACTTTCCCGCGCAAAAGTCAAAATTCACATCCTTTTGAAAAATACGTTAATTACACACTTAATTACATATCATAAATATATATAACTTTTTTTCTCCGGATAATAGTTGGAATATTTACGGAATTACCTTACAGATCAAAGCGAATGAAATAAAATACCGTCAGATCCACTGCTATTTACTTTAATGTTTTTTTTAACGGTATTACTAATTACAGTTGCAGGATTTTTTTTTCCGCAGAAACACCTGGCAAAAACAAAAATAGTTTTATACTCCGTTTTCCGTGTTTTTTCTCTCTCTCTCTGACTATTTCATAAGCAACCAAGCACTCCCGAAAAGGCAGCTAAAATCTTGTGTGTTCGATAGGCCTACAGACGATCGGAGCAGAGGGAAAATGAAATAAAAATAATAACAAAAAATCATAAATAACAATAAAAAATACGCAAACACACACACACACACACACACACACACACACACACACACACACACACACACACACACACACACACACACATATATATATTTATATATATATATATAATATATATATATATATATATATATATATATACTCTTTATTTATCAGGTTTCATCATCCTCATATATATTTCCTGCAAAATTACTCGCTTACAGAACACACGGCCTACACACAAACACCTATGCATTTTACACACGTACCCGAACGAAAGCAAAAATAGGTCTTTGTACACATATTTGTAAATATACACAAACACACACACACAAACATAAACATAAACACACACACACCACACACACAAACACAACTGACACACACAAATGACACACATTCACACAAACACAAATATAGACGCAACACATACACACACAAACAGACACAAAACACAACCACAAACCCACCCAAGATACAACCCCCACCCCCACCCCCTATTCACCTCCCCCCCCTCAAAAACCTCCCCATCATCGAACAGAGACTAACCCCACCCCACCCCCACCCCCACCCCCCACCCACCCACCCCACCTCCCCATAAAGAAATCAGGAATTTAATTAAAAGTTGTGTGGATTCTCCCGATAGCGGCGGAGGCGAGTCGACCGCGCCGCCCGCACGCCCCGCACGCGCGCCACGCACGCCCCGCTCGCCTCCTTATCCTCGCATTTACTTTTCCTTCCTTCCTTCGCTTCCTCATTCCTTCTTGGTTCTTTGCTTCTTCCTTCCTTTCCTTCTATTTTCGTCATTCTTTCCTTCCTTCGCTTCCTACATTCCTTCTTGGTTCTTTGCTTCTTCCTTCCCTTCTTCCTTTCTATTTCGTATTCTTTCCTTTCCTTCGCTTCCTATCTTTTGGTTCTTACTCCTGGCCTCCCTTCTTGCTTCTTCTACCTTCCTTCTTAGTTCTTTATTACTTCCTTTCCTTTTTATTTTACGTATTCCCCTTTCCTTCCCTTCCTTCGTTTCTTATTTCCTTCTTCTATTTCCTTTCTTCCACCTTCCTTCCTTTTTCCTCCCTTTCTTACTTCTTTATTCCTCCTTCCTTCCTTCTTCGGTTCTTCCTTTCTCTCCTTCCTTCCCTCCTATTCTCCATCTTCCTTCCTCATCTGTTCATTCCTTTCTTCCTCCCTTCCTTCCTCCTTGCTTATTCCTCCCTTCCTTACTTTCTGAACCTCTCTCTCTCCTTCTTCCTATTCCTTCTTACTCTTCCTGTTGCTTTATCCTTTGATTGTTGACCATGGCAAGGGTTACTACAACCATACAACTCAACACCTACCCATAAAAACAAAACAAACACACTGCACTAACAACAAGAAAACAATAACCAAATACACATTAAACAAACCAAGAATAAAATCAAACAAACCTAAAAACAAAACAAAACAAGCCACATAAACACACTAACCACAAGAAATNGGAGGAGGGAGGGAGGAAGGAAGGGAGGGAGGGAGAAGGAGGAGGGAAGAGGGAGGGAGGGAAGAGAGAGAAAGGAGAGAGAGAGGAGAGAGAGAGAAGGAGGAGAGAGAGAAAGAAGAGAGAGAGAGAGAGAGAGGAGGAGAGAAGGGAGAGAGAGAGAGAGAGAGAGAGAGAGAGAGAGAGAGAGAGAGAGAGAGAGAGAGAGAGAGAGATGAGAGAGAAGAGAGAAAGGAGAGATGAGAGAGAGAAGAGAGAGAGAAAGAGAGAGAAAAGAGAGAGAGAGAGAGAGAGAGAGAGAGAGAGAAAGAAGAGAGAGAGAGAGGAGAGAGAGAGAGAGAGAAGAGAGAGAGAGAGAGAGAGAGAGAGAGAGAGAAAGCATACTACGAAACTTACCTTGGTATATCACACTGTTGGCACAGATGAGATCAGTAAATCCATTCAGCAGGCTCGTGAGGAAGCCCAAGGCATGGAGCCTACGACACACATTGGCAGATGAGCGACAGAGGAGGAGGAGGGCATGGACACACTGAGTAAGGGAGGCACTGTGAGTCATCTCACTCTCACAACAGGATGAGTATGTGGATGATGGCCCTGTGTGGACTGTGTGCTGTGGAGAAGTTGCCTCGCCAGATGACCACGACATGCCCTTTGAGAGTGACTCGTCCTGGGAGGTGGACTGCAACATGGTACCCTGAGCCCTTGCCTTGTAGTCATTTGCAGATTGTGAGGAGACATTTTCAAAGGAGTTGGTAGAACAAGCATTTTCTACACAGGAATCATTTTCTACACTAACATTTGCACTTAGCCCTGGTTTCACCTGCACTTTCTCACTCTCAAGAATCTCTGGCTTTGGTTCATTAGCCCACTCAGTCCCATCGGAGTTCCCTGTATCAGAACCCGTATCGTCATCTGAGGTCATACTGTGGTACACTGATGAGGCTGAGGATGTACTCTTGTCACCAGATGCACTGCGAGCTCCTGACCCTTTTGAGGGGGATTTGGATCCATCCTTGAGCCGCCGCCTCCTGCTCCAGCGCCTTCGGTTCTGACCCCTCTTCTTCACGGGGGACTCAGGCATGTGTTTCTCTTGCTGATCATGGATTTCAGGCCCTGTTCCCACCTCTTCCTGAGCTTCCTCTCGTGTTTCAAGGAACTTCTCATGGTGGTTGATGATGAGGTCCAATGCCAACAGCACCAGCTCAGGGCACTCCAAATTGTCATCCTGTTGCCAAGATCTAAGAGAAGACAAGCCAATACTTGATGTAGGACCAAAAGAAAATTCGTTAAAAGTACATGAACATGATAGTTTGTTCAGAGACAGTACATGCAAAATACAATGCACAATAATATGTCAGAAATGAGGAAAAGTACAAAGCGAGATAAACAGACCCTCTGAAAATCTTTTTCCCAATGACTCCTACAGAATATTCTTATAACAAAAAAATCCTTCCTCCCAGTAATCTACTCCCATCCAGTTCATAAATCAAGTTAAGCAGAAATGGAAGAATAATCATGCTGTATACCAATATTCAGAGATTATTTCCATAGGTGAAATATATATATTTACAGCTGTTCTCAACATTTCACTTGTCTCTGTCAATCTGAGGAACATGCTTCAAAAAAGAGTCCACTCACCTAGCTGATGAAGGATAAGTGTTGTTGGCGAGCTGCTCTGTGTCAGCCTCGTAGCCATCAGTCTCACCTGGATGTTGCTCTCCTTCCCCTCCAACTGTACCTGGCTCCTCATCAAGCATCTCAAGGGCCTGCTGGGCATACAAGTTTGGTTATTTGTCTCTAGAGAATGCAAACTAAGCTAATTTATATTTTCAATTAGATCTATGCAAATCTAATCTAATTCCTTCAAATAATTAACAACTTTAATCTAATTCCTTCCAGTTTTTTTTCCTTCACAGAGATCAATAAAAAACAAATTTATTCCTTTAAAGTGGATGCAACAAAATTAATTATTAGCTTAAAAAGCAAGACGACTTTGGTTATGAACAATAACAGGAAATACTTGCAAGCTTCACAAAAACCTGTACTTTTTATAACTGGCACTTACCTGTGTTGTGTGAGGTAAAGAATAAGTTATGTTGGTTGATGAGGACAACACACAACACTGTAGCATGACAGACACGAGGTGTTTCACATCCCCACAAGTACGGGGTGAGTAACGTAACAATGGCGACCTCAACTCATTCAAAAGTGTATCCACATGCAAACCTTAAGAAAAAACAGATGCAGTTATACCACACATAAAAATATATTTTTTTTAGAATGATGAATATGTCTAGATCTTTCAAATATTTCTTGTCAGATAACAGTTGTAATAAAAACACTCTTTGCACACCTGCATATGGGTAAGTTACAATAACGAAGGTGAGCAGCGAGTGCATCAGCGAGAAGGTAACAGATAGCTGCTCTAATACAACGCTGCTCAGTCCTAGGGCACCTGTACAGCCAAGAAAGGGATGGATAATCAGAACAACTTAAGTTACTGATCTCTTCAATTATTAAATTCTATAAAAACAAAATATAAATCATACTAACTTTAACTGGAAATTCTGAAATCACTATTACATAAAACATTTTGATATAAATATGTATGTATGAGTACCTGTATATATTTATCATTTGTATACAGATGTCTGTATGTACATATATACATACATACATACATACATACATACATATATATATATATATATATATATATATATAATATATATAATATATATATATATATATATATATATATATTATACATATATGCACATACACAAATATATGTATATGTATATGCACACACACACACACACACACACACACACACACACACACACACACACACACACACACACATAACATACACACACAACAACACACACACACAACACATACACACACACAACATATACATATACACACATCACATGCTGAAAGACAAAAGTACAAACATACACACATCCAGTTCAGTCCCATGCAAAGCCCCTGTACCAACCCCTTTCCCTGCCACTGAGGCACAAACACCAACCTGAGGAAGCACGAGCCAGGTCCTGCGTAATGTTGACAAGCAGTGGTGCCACCAGGGAACGGATACCTGATGCAGCCAAGTAGGCCTGGAACTCAGAGCTCGTGTGCAGAACTTCTGTGACAGCATTCCACAACTCACCAAGGCCTGCGTACTTGAGGGCAAGTGTCTGGCTGTCAATGTTCTGTGGTGGCAAATGAAAATGAAAGATTCAGAAGCAAATATCTTTGAAATGAAATAACTGGCATGAATGTGAATGTAATTATCAGAGATTTATATGTATAATATAAGAGAAATATGGCAAAAGCCTCTTCAATGTTACTTCCACTGTTCATCAACTCTTTATATCATTACCATTCCCTAAAGCTCTAACTCTGTGCTATGAATCACTACTGAACTACCATCATTATATCAAATACCATATTCAAACTACCTTAAAGTTTTCAAGATCAGCATGGTCTTCTACAAACTCATTGGGGATGGGAGAGGTGGCCTTTTGATCTTCTAATTCTGTATCTTCAACTTTGCTCACCTCTGAACCACTATCTGTATACACAACTTCCTTGATATCCTTAGTGTCTTCATTCTCCTCTTCTAACCGCTCCTCTTTTTCATCTGTCTTGTCACTGATGGTTTCAGCATCTGCATTGTCCTGGCTGATGACTTCATTCTTGTTGTGGTTTAGG